GGTCACTGCCACTGCCCCACTCAGGCCCAAGGTCACTGCCACTGCCCCACTCAGGCCCAAGGTCATTGCCACTGCCCCACTCAGGTCATCATTGCTTTGTTCCCGAGGGCTTCTGCAGCTCCCCCAGCCACATTCTCTGTCAGTGTGGTTATTATGAAACATAAACAAGTTGAGGCTATTTCTCGCTAAATTTCGTTTATTAACTCCTCCCAAACAACAATGCGCAGCGCAAGGCTTACACTTATAGGATGAAATGTGAACACTCAGCATGGCCGATCAAGGCTTTCATCCTCTTATCACCAGGTTTGCGTTATCTTTTGTTAACCCCTCGTCATCAATGCTGGATCATTTACAGCATCCAAAGTATGTCATGCTTTTTCAGGCAACTTTACCTGTGCTGATATTATCCCCTTTGTCTGGTACATTCCTTCCTTCCTCCTTTGTTTGGCTAATTCCTACTTGACCATCAAAATCACCTCCTTCTGGTGCCTTTCCCAACCAAACACTCTGTACTTTTACAATTTAAACAGAGCCGAACCGCACAGTATAGGTGCTGTCTGTGGTGTGGGCTTCTCCTCTATGCTACAGCCTGATTTCTGCAGCCTCAGTGCCTGGCACCCAGCAGGTGTGCCGCAAATGTTCGCTGAGCTGAAGTTCAAGTCTCCTCGCTCCACGTTCCATCTCTGATTTCTCAAGGCAGGTTTGTGTGTGCTCTCCTTATTGCTTCCACCACACCTCATAAATATACTGCAGTAGTTGTTGGTATTGGAATTGTGTGCTTGTTACGTCCACATGACCTGGACGCTCGTAATGACTGAAACATGCTCTGTCTCTGTATTCTCAGTGCTTAGCACACTGCCTGGCACTCTTAACAAGCCCCGATAAGTACCAAATAAGTGAATACACTGCGACCTAAAAGTTACCTCTTGGGAGTTCTTAGTCTGAAGGTCCCAGAGTATCTCAGAGCTTCTTGGTGATTTGCCTTCAGTTTGGGGAAAAAAATTCAAGAATTTATATATTTCTACTAAAGGGAATTTGGTTCCTTATATAAAACAGTCAATAAAACCCTTTATGTCTGAGTCAGCCTAATGAAGCAAGTTTTTCCTTGTATCACAACCATGTGTAATCTGCTTTGTCATTAAAACAAGCTTTACATAACTTTTGTGTTATTAAAATTAAAATGTACCAATAAGAAAATGTACTCAAAGGTGAGCTCTGAAATGTATATCAAGCTTTTAATTCTATCCCCTCTCATTTTAAAGCAGAAAACAAATACGTCTTTAAAAAATATAGTGAAAAAATCCATGCTAACACACTGAACTTATCATCCCTGTTGAAGTGTCATCAGTTCGCAGCTCAGTAAACTTCCTGATTTTATGGTACTGCAGCAAACATTTATCTAAATTAAAGTGTACAAGATCCAAAGGTGCTTTTCAATCACAATATCCTTTATGAATTAGAGTTTCATTCATCAAAATTACAGGCAAAAAGAGGTAAGGTCTCAAAGGGCTGTCTCATTACAAGGCTTATAAACACTGTCCTTAGAAAGAATTGGTTTAACACCTAACAAATCAAAATCTGATTGGGAAGAGAAATTATTTGAGATCATCTATCTTCAGAAGACATGTTGGGCTGCGTGCACTTCTTGGCCTCTTTAGCCATTCATCAAGAAATTAACAAGCGAATACCACAAACCACCAGAATGCCTCAGATTTGAAAATGTGGATTATGTGTAAAGCTGGATAGAATAGACACAGATGTTTATTTTCTAGAAAACATTAAAATGCCATAGAATTTGTAAGGTTTTAAAATAAAAAAAAAGTCACTAAATTAGATTAATGAAGCCAAATGCAAAATTGCACTTAAGTTATTTTCCACATTCTGTTACAAATAACAAATTCTATACACATTAGATTTCTCTGTAAATGTTATACTTGAAGTTCTGTATGTGAAAATGTTATCTAATATAGAATACTACATTACATGAACCTTCATAAAGCTCCTTTCATAAAGTTTCTCTTAAAAGAGGTAGATCCATGTGAAACAAAGTATATTTTAAAAGTGAATTAACAAGAGAACTAAAATGTATCTACTACTGTTACTATTCTCTAGCATTATTACTATTATAATTGCATTATTTAAAATAGTTTTGTTACTTTAAATAAGTATAAGTTAAAATATAGAAAATGACAAATCAGAAGCATTGATTTATCTTTATAATATTCAGAGAAAATGTCTATCTATAAAGTCTGCACAATCAA